CTATCGCCCGATTCAACAAGAGTGGTTTCATCGCTGAGGACGGGAAGCAAAAGGACTTTGACGTATTGGTTTTGGCGACAGGATTTGACAGTTTCACTGGCTCGTGAGTCTCGAAGCTCTGCTGTTGCCTTTTGACCTTTATGTTTTTGGCATGTCTTCAGGCCAGTCCTAATATCGTGCGCAGGCTTACGACCATGGGCCTAAAGACCAAAGACGGTCTTGATATCCAGGATGTGTGGAAGGACGGAGTCAGAACATATCTGGGCATTTTTGTCAAAGGGCTTCCAAACGCCTTTTTGCTCTATTCGCCCCAAGGTCTGTAGTAATATGTGTGACCTCATATGTGTAAAGATCAATATGGCTGACTCTTGTCTGAAGCACCTACTGCACTCGCCAATGGACCGACCCTGATAGAATGTCAGGCTGATATAATGATGGAAACAATTCAAAGACTCGAATCAATCAAAGCCAAGTCTATAGAGCCGAAGGAGTCGGCCGAAGCTGAATGGGGCGAGCTCCTGGAAAAGATGATTTCACCGACATTATTCAGGTACGCTGGCTCATGGTGGAATGGCGCAAATATTCCTGGCAAAAAGGTTCAGATATTCAATTATGTTGGGGGTCTTGCAACATATGAGAAAACCTGTCAGGAAGCCGTCAGTACCTGGAAGGGATTTGACATCATTCTTGATCATCACTCCGAGCCCGTCAGCCAGAAGACCGTGAAAGGAAGCGAAGAGGCAGACTTGATAAAGCCTATAGCTGCTTGATTCAATAGACCGCATAGCAAAATACGAAATGTGTAGTATGATAAATTCACTTCTTATAAGCTTCGCTAAACACCGATATTCTTCACGCCTTCATATTATAGTAGGAGGCTCATCTAGGTGCAGCTCGTTTTTGATTACGTTCTGAAGAACTCTGGAATTCCGAGTCGAACATCATAGAGATAGGATGATCTCTCGCAAGCCCTGAGATCTGGGCCACCGAGAACATTGTACCACGGCAAAAATTCTGGTCACTGCAAAGAAATCGAGAAGAACAGACAAGCCCATTTCCCCTTCTAAAGAATATCCAAGTTGTTGCAAACTTTTAGTAGTTTTCTGAGTATGATGGAAGCAATATTCGTCGAGGGTTCATACCATAACAAAGGTTGCTTCCCAGACATGTCTGGTAGTGCCATAGGACTAAAGGCCCGTTTGAACCCAGCTCCATAACCACCACCAGGTTGAAGCCTTCTGCAGCATTTGCGTCCTATAACCCGACAGTCTATGCTAAAGCCTTCAAGTCTTCTGGCAGGAGCCCGTCAGTGCCACCAAGACCGTCTATCGCTTTTCCAAAGATAATGTTCTCATAGCCAGCCATTATAAAAACATTTGATTCAAGGAACTTCGCTGCATCCCCTACAAACGTGGCTCAGTCGGCTATGAAGGGGAGGGCCTCTGAGAGGGTGGGGAAGGAATGGTGATGCTTACCTCCCAAGGCTCGAGAAAACGCTGGACTGCTGCTGAACGTCTTCCAATCTTCAAGGCGCTTGACATATATCTCGGTGCAGCCATCATATGGAAGCACTGGATACCCGAGACCCTCCGCGGCTGCTCTGATCTCTGGCGTCTGGTGAAACTGTAACAGATATCAGTCCGGACTTAGCGTCTCGGGGGACGGATGGTTTTGGAGAAAAGACACCGACTTGGACATATCGCAAGGCTTGGATCTCTCGAAATCCCTTGGCGGCAACGGTCAAATCGGCATGCACCGTCTCCCAATGGCTGTGGAACTCCTGGTCACTGAGTCCAGATTTCTTGATCAGGAAGAATGTGATTTTGAGGTATGGCTGGCGGTTGGCAGATGCCGGACTAGCCAGCCGACCAAAGGTGACCGAATGTGGTTCTTCCATCAATGGAATATTCTCGAGGGCAAAAACTACTTGGGGCTGTCACGGCACACCCAATAGTGGTCCGTTCTTCTTGTTGAGAACAGGTCGTGGCTGATATACTTGCATCGCGCCGAGCCATTGTCCGCCCACAATTATTTCCAGTATTCGTCATTATTCTGTGCAAGATTTATGCAGCTTCCCTCTCAGCGCCCGTGCAGGCAGAGGCTGACCCCGGGCCGTCCGGAGAAGCTTCCCCGAGGCGCGAAGGTGCCCGGGGCTTCCTGGGGAAGTTGGGGAAGGGGAGTTCAAGGTTGGCGCCGCGAAGGGGCACAGATTAGCCAAATTCTTCTCCCTCCCACTTGCACCGGCATTGTTTTGTACCTAGTCTTTCTTTTTTCAAAGCAAGTATAAGGAGAGAGGCTGAGAAGCTCACTTGAATTCAAACGTATGTCGAAGCCTTGTTGACAATTTGCCCTTCACATGACGCGAAACATCAAACAAATCTTGAAAGCAAGATGGCGTCCCTAGAGGGTAAAATCATTCTTCTGATCGGTGGTGCATCCGGTGTAGGGTTGGCCACGGCCAAACTCCTGGCATCTCGCGGCGTACATCTTTCCGTGGCCGATGTAAACGACGACGTGAAAACCGTGATCTCTCAACAGGTGCCCTCGACGGACAAAGTGAAGGTTACTGCTCACCGAGTCGACATCACTGACCAGTCGGCGGTAAAGGCCTTGATAGATGCTACACTGAAAGAACATGGACGTATCGATGGGTGTGCCAACATTGCTGGGGTCATCGGAAAGCAGCACGGAATCAGCATCTGGGAGACTGAGAGGAGCGAATTTGATTTTGTAATGGGGGTGAATGCCGGTGGACTGTTCAACTGCCTGGCGGCACAGTTGAAACCAGGCATATTGTCCGACGGCGCGAGCATTGTCAACGTCGCCAGCATCCTGTCCTTGCGCGCATCGCCCAGATCGGCTTCGTACGTGGCCAGCAAACACGCAGTGCAAGGCTTGACCAAAGCTGCTGCCATTGACGCAGCGCCTAGGAACATCCGGGTCAACTGTGTGGCACCGTGAGTAATCCAATCTCTTTTTCCTTTTACTTCTTGTTTCTTTTGGTGATCAGAAGGCTAAAACATGGATCCAGGGGCTACATTGCCACACCAATGCTGGCCACATCCTTGGAGACCAAATTTGGATCCGACGCAAAAAATTGGCCAAAGCCAACGACCCCGTTTACCCGCCATGGAGAACCAGAGGAGATAGGGAAGGTGATTGCCTTTTTACTCAGCGATGATGCCAGTTACGTTACGGCCGCCACGTACAGCGTCGACGGTGGATGGGCTTCTGCCACATGAACCAAAGTCTCAGAATTCATAGTAGCTGTTTGAGCTTGAAGGCTTGAAATTTTGGTTTGGCACTTCGGGCTCAGAATAAGCAGTGCTTCGTAGAATAGCAACTTCAACATCATATATAGATGCAGTTTACTATAGAACAACTATACACATCGGTCATCTGGACGATGATTTAGTACTAGGTGTCATCAGAGCGTTCTAAGGACTGGATATTCCGTTAGCAGCCAATTACTATGTCAGTCCTCTCGTATCTAAATATTCCATCCTCCATCCACGCTATAGATTGCCCCTGTTGTGAATTTGCTCTCATCTCCAAGCAGAAATGCAATGGTTGACGCAATCTCGTCAGGTTCAGCGTTGCGTGCAATAGGGGTGAAGGCAGCTTGGGGCGTTGCATCCTTGCTGGCCAATGCCGCGGCCAGCATAGGTGTATTCACTACGCCACTGTGTATTCACCCTCCAAATTAGATAATGCCCATATATACTTCTGCTAGATGTGTCCGAACTTACGGTGCTACTCCGTTCACTCTTATGTTCCTCGGCCCGGCTTCGAGAGCCGCTGATTTGATCAATCCCGTAGCAGCGTGTTTGCTCGCGACATACGCTGAGCTGCGCGGAGTACCTCGAAGCCCACAAAAGCTTCCGACGCACGCAATGCTGGAACCGTCCTTCATTACTCCGTCCGCTAGTTGCGAAGCCAAGCAGTGAAATAAGCCTTTGGCGTTGACGTCCATGATGAAGTCGTACTCTTCGGTCGATAACTCCCAGATATGGTGTATGTTCTGATTTTTGCCAGCCACTCCAGCGACATTGGCTGCTCCGTCCAGCTGACCAAACTCAACCGTGGTCGCCTTGAGCCATTGCCGAACCTGGTCACGATCCCGGATATCGACGTTAGTTGAAGTGAATTTTTTTGAGCGGTGTGCGCTCAAAGACGCCGCGATCGCGTTGAGCCCTTCTTTGTTGACGTCTGCGATTGCCAACGTTGCACCGCGAGAGGCCGGAAGTTTCGCTGTAGCGGCACCAATTCCCGATGCAGCCCCAGTCAAGGCGATGACCTTTCCAGCGAGGGACGACATCCGAATATCGAGAAGGGAAAACAACTAGCGAATGAGAAAAGGTCGAACGCTGAATAGGTCTGAAGCAAAGCTCGAGAAACTACTGAATCGAACAGGCTGATTCTTCTGCCCCCCTTGAGTTTCAGTATTGCTGAATGACTGTCCCTCAATGGCCTGCGTTCTCGGATTATAGTAACCGACGCCTTGTGGAGCGTGCTCTCTAGAGTAGTGTTGAAGTTCGAACGGCTTTTCAAATTACCCTGTTAGAAGTCTGAAGATTCCACATGAGTATCAAGAGCTCCGGGAACGGAAACATGTCATGACCCTCGCTTGGGATGAACGGTTACGGTCGGTGGAGCGTGCATTTCCAACCTCCGGAAAGAAGCATTGTTTGGGGAGAGTTTGCGGGTGTCGTTATCAACAGTAATCTAAAGGAGGGGGAGTTACCCCTTGCCAAATGCGGATATTCCTAACTTTCTGCGGCTTTCCGGAAGAGTTCTTCCGGGGGAACAGGGACACATGAAGACAAGTCACCCTAAACCGTCGGCTACTTAATCCTAAAAGGTAGTTTTGAAATCGAATTTTTATTAGATTCTGGAGTTTAAGAAGGGCTGGTCAAGTGTAGCTACTCCCTGTTCAGTAGACCCAGTCCCGGAAGACGATCTCTGATTAAAGACGACCTCCTTCAGAGGAAGCCAACGTCATGTCGTACGCAGATTTGAAAGACAAGGTATTTGTTATTACGGGGGCTGCAGCGGGCATGGGCCAAGATGTGGCGGTAAGACTCGTCCAGCAAGGGAGCCGTGTCGGTCTTATCGACCGGGATCAACCTACACAGACTCTTGAAAAGATCAAAGAGGCTGGAGGTGAGGCTGTCAGCTTCATTTGCGACGTCAAGAATAGCAAAGCCATTGACGATGCGGTTCGAAAGATTGCTGAAAAATTTGGCCGGCTCGACGGGGCCGCCAATATGGCAGGATTTGTGGCGAGCCATGGGCTCGACAAGATTACTGACGAAGACTGGGACGGCCTGCTTGGGGTAAATCTCAACGGGGTCAAAAACTCGATTGTATCGGAACTCCGCCACATGAAGGGCCCTGGGTCGATTGTCAACGCTGCCAGCATCTCTGGCCAGATGGGAAACGCATATGCCTCCGCGTATGCTACAAGCAAATGGGCGGTAATAGGATTGACGAAAAGCGCTGCACAAGAAGTTGGTCCTCGCGGTATTAGAGTCAATGCTGTTGCCCCGTGAGTTCTCCTTTCAGAGCCCTTGCAACGCCTGCCGTGAAGATATACTGATTCGAACCTTTAGCGGATTTGTTCACACTGCACTAACCAGGAGCATTGCATCCAAGGAGGAGCTGGAGAAAATGTACTTGAAGAATATCCCCCTTGGGCGGATGGCGGACCCCGAAGACATAGCGAGAGTCATATTGTTTCTGCTAAGCGAGGAAGCAAGATACATAACATCTTCGGTACTTGGGTCCTCGGAACCTGATGCTTGAGTTCGTGGCTGATCATATCGTGTTAGGTCGTCAATATCGATGGAGGCTACCAGTGAGAACAACGGGAATGACAGTTGGAAAATGTGGGGCGGTCCCAGGAAAACATATGCCTACGTAGCCTGCGACATTTCCGAGGACTGGTAGTCTGGAATCTGGGGTCCGTAGATCCAATCCTGGAGCTTAGGCTGTGAGCCCAGAGCACCAGCTAAGGATAGTCCGGCAAATGAAAGCCAGTCGAGTTCAATAAGCAGCGGCTTCGAGATGGTTGCAGCCAGACGAAGGGCTAGCCACACCTTCATCTTAGTCCTTTCAAACTACTTCGGCTCAGATAGCAAATGGCGGTGCTGATTTCCCATGTAACCACCGACCTTGCCCGATGAATCTAGACTGTCTACTCAGTCTATGAATCTTCATTCGGAAGCCTAAGAGTGACACTGAGCTTCATTGTGCAGACACTCAGGGTAGAACAACACAACTTTTACAACGGGTAGCTCATAACTTTGTGAATAGCCCTGTCTGCAGGAAATTGCCTCCGTCCAGCGGCAACACAACTCCGTTGACAAAAGAGCCTGCATGGCTGCAAAGATAGATCATAGCCCCTGCTATATCCTCTGGCTTGCCGACTCTTCTTAGGGGGTTCGAGGCAGACATTGTGTCAACGCCACCTACGATGTCGATGAGCCCATTCGACAGCTTGGTCGGAAAGAAGCCGGGAGCCACGCAGTTACAGGTAACATTTTGAGGGCCATATTCCATAGCCAAGTTTCTCGCGAGGTGGTGGGCTGCCGCCTTCGATACTGAGTATACAATGGTGCTATTCTCGCCGGTAAACGGAACTGTGAATCCTGCTATTGCGCCGATTATGATGATTCGAGCAGGATCTTGGGGATCCCGGTTCTGATAAGGAGCGGGGCTAATCTATAATCTCTGTCAGTCTTTGAGACGAAACAGAATGTTACCATTCTATGGCTGCAATAACTCACAGACGTGCCAGGTTGATGATGCTCCTGACATTGAGGTCCAGCACCTTGCTAATGGAAGCATCGGGGGTTGTCTCGAGAGGTCCACCCCATGTGGCGCCAGCGTTGGCTACTAAAATGTGTACCTCACAGGTAATGGCCTCGATTTCTTTTGCGAGCCGCTGGACTTCCGAGAACTTGGACAGATCGCAGGCGATTGTGGAGACTCTACCACGACAGCCGGGTACGGTGGAATGGAGTGCCCCCAGCGCAGACAACAAACCTTGTGGGCCTTCCAGCTTCCTTGCAACAAGGATCACTCGTTCAGCGCCAGCTTGTAGAAATGCTGTAGCAGTGTGGAGGCCGATGCCTCGAGAACCTGGCAAATATTTGAGCACTCATTATTTCTTGCGCAACGAAAAGGCCTCGTTACCTCCTGTGATGACAGCAACTTTGCTATCAAGACGGAATAAACCCCCAAAATCGTTCAGTCGCGACATGTCGAAAGGTGGGAGAGATGATACAAGACTGTGAGAGCGAGGAGCAGGTATCATCACCCACATTCGTACTTGAGATCATATATATACAACTGGGCCGAAACCTGCGTAGGCATTAGATAGGCACCGGACTTGACCCAATCAACTTGGATCTTGTCTTTAGGCTGAATGACTTACGCAATCACGAGTCGGCAACCTAAATACTTGAGACTTTTGCTAAGGATGTCCACATATGGAGGACTGTATATCTTGTGTATTGCTTTAACAACTCAGGTCTGATCTTCTACGTGTATTCTCTTTCCACTCATCGTTTCTCCAAGCGCAAACGTCAGGAAGAAACGATGAAGAAAAGCCCAATAACATAGTCATTTCATAGTTTGGCTGCTAAGTCACTTGCCTGCTCTTTGTATCTCCGATGTTTGGACTGCAATTGGGTAGCTTGTTTCAATTCATCTCTTCCGACTTGGTGTCTATGCGCGGCGTCTGGTCCATCTGCAAGCCGAACATACCTTGCATAAGTCCAAGCGTGAGGCATAAAGGTTTCCTGAGTGAGTCCTAGTCCACCATGCATCTGCATGCATTCATCAATCACCTTGGCAGCCATTGAAGGAACGACAATCTTGGAATGTGCAATGGTGTGACGACCAGCCTTATTACCTAGGAGGTCCATTGTCTCGGCAGCATTCAACACGATCAGCCTCATGGTATCAATGTCGAGGCGCATTTGTGCAAGTCTTTCGATGTTGCTATCAAAATCACCGATACGCTTGCCCCTAGGTTTTTTTTGAGGGTCGATCGCACGAACTAGAGCCATCTCATAAGCACGTTCGCTCTGGCCGATCAAACGCATGCTGTTTCATATGTCAGCGTCAGGACCAGAATAACTGGCAAAGCCCCCACTCTTGGGCTCGTATACATACCAGTGATGAATTCGTCCCGGACCTAAACGGCCTTGTGCAATCTCGAATGCTCTCCCTTCCCCCAAGATTAGGTTCTCCACAGGAACTCGGACATTTGTATAGAGATACTCCGCGTGGCCTTGAGGTGCGTCATCATAGCCCATTATTGTCAAGTTCCTAACATGTTTTATCCCCGGAGTATTGGTCGGAACGATTACCATGGAATGTCGTTTCCATGCACTAGGGTTCTCAGGATCTGAACAAACCATAAGAATGAAGAATGTGAGATCTTTATTCATGGTTGAGCCCCCGAAGACCTTTCGGCCATTAATGACATAGTGATTGCCTTCTCGATGCAGGCTGCAGGCAATATTGGTGGCGTCTGATGCAGCAACATCGGGCTCTGTCATGGAGTAGGCAGACATTGCAGTTCCTTCCAGCAGTGGCTTTAGCCACTTCTGTTTCTGCTCGGTGTTACAGTATTTGGCCAGAAGTTCAATGTTTCCAGTTTCTGGAGCGTGACAATTCATTGTCCGTGATAGCAGTTAGGGTCTATGGGCAATAAGAGCCGGGGTTCGACTTACCTCCGCTGCCCAGTAACATCGGCCCATGATCTGAGCGCAGCAGGCATATTCCAGGTTCGTCAGGCCAGGGCTCTCCTTGAACGTTTTAGGGAGGAAGAGATTGAAGAGGTTCGCTTCACGCGCGCGCCCCCTCAATTCCTGCATCTTGGGCTGTACAGCCCAGCGATGACCTTCGAGCTGCCTTTCCATGATTGATTCTGCCGGTATGCACTCATTTTCTACCCACTCGTAAACTTTGACAATCGTCTCTTTGGCCTTGGGTGACAGTTTTGGTTTCACAGTCGCAGGTATGTGAGCGAATGCTGGATGTTGAAGTGCCATGGTTTGACGTCCAGATCAGTCCTGCTTCGTGTGGACTGACGAATTGACGACTTCCTTGTGCGAGATTGATTAAGCAGAGTCAGACCGAATGATTCATTAATGCCGATGCGATTACTTGTTTGAGGAGATCATCCACGAGTCGTTGTGGATCAAATTGATGTGCTAAATCTGAATCGGATGTGTCAGATTGGGATAGTCAGGCGCGGCTAAGCAGTCGGCTACGTTATTCCAGGCTCCGAAAGACCCGTCAGGATTAGGGTCACCACTCCGGCTCGTACCTATGTCTATGGTCGCAGCTACACCCAACAACAGGTCAGCGATAGTCAGGCATCCTGCCTTGACGAGCCGCTCCAGCAGTCCGACCCCCGCGGCACTGTTCGGCTCTTGGATCGACCAAGCCCAGTCCTGCTTTGTGGATCCCAGCAAAGAACCCAAGCACATACCATAGTACGTGTAGGGCATGAAGAGTTATAGACCCGTCACCAATGCTAAAAGCAAGCCGCCGAGACTTGTCCGTAACCTCTCCAAGAATGCCTCCGAGGCTCTTCAGACACGACATAGGCTGCATTAAGGGTCGAATAATCACAAGAAGGTGTTTCAACAGTGAAGTTTTGGACTGTACCAAGACGGCCGGAAACAGCAGCTTGTTCTGTATACAAGATGGTTGACAAGGAAGAAATGCTGGCACAGCACCACAAGACGAGTTTCCGAGCTAAAGAAGCCTGCCTCTCATGCAGATCTCGAAAAGTGAGGTGCGATGTCTACTTCCTGGGAGCACCGTGTTCAAACTGTGTGCATTCAGGCTTGAAATGTCTTCTGCATACAAAGAAACATAGGTACAGATAGCAAACGTGGTATTTAAGAGAGACGCTGATAACTGTAAAAGGCGCAAAGGTATTGTACCTGCTACGAATATCTACCCGCCGAACGAAAGGTTGTCTCGGAATGAAAGACCTTCCGTTGAGCAGGACTGCCATTCAACCAGATTGACAAACGACTTCGAAGGAAACGTTGCTGGATCCGCGCCAGGAAGTCAAGCAGTAACCCTGAAGGTTGTGAATAGCTCGCAATATGAAGAGATGATACCAGATTTCGTCTTTTGGAATTCTGATCACTTCTCCGCTGAACAAAGGAATGATCTTTCAGCCAAGGGCGCAATATCACTCCCAGAACCAAGGGTGCTGAACCTGCTTCTTCAAAGCTACATTGACTTTGTGCATCCACAATTGCCCTTTCTGGATCTCAGCAGGTTTCTCTCCGTGGTTGGTTCAAATGGTCAAAGTTCGCACCTCAGTCTGTTGCTTGTTCAAGCGGTGCTCTTCGCCGGAGCGTTGTATATTGATTTTGAAGACCGGCTCTTTACACAATATGGCAATTCGAGGGATCTACAGATCAAACTGAGAGCCCGATCCAAGGTATGTGAGATTGACATGAAGCTCCCCAAGCTTGGAAACGGCTGTGACTGACAAAACCACAGGTGTTATACGAGGCCGGCTATGAGAAAGATCGGCTGAATCTCGTGCAAGCAAGCATGCTCCTATCCTTGGAGAACTATATTGATTTCGAAGTCAGCGATGAAAGCCAATTCTGGCTCGATGTCTGTTTGATAAACTTCGAAGAATGGAAGGGTTCACAGCCTGATGAGGAAATTTGGAATTCACCATCGGTTCGACTGCGGTGGAGTCTCTATGTTGTCAACAACACAATGAATTTCCGCAGAGGGAAAAGTGGCCCTGGAACATTTCAGAGCCATGAAGTTGGATTTCCTAGCCTCTCGAGGTTCGACACACTGATCAACGCAAAACAAACTTTGCTGAATCTCAAAAGCAGCGGCCTCCTCAGGCAGCCATATTTGCAAAAGCTACTGGCAGAAATGTTTATTCACCGACTAAGGCT